CTCTTTTCTTAAACTGTTTGTGACTTTCTCATCTGATCTCCTTCTCACACCCACTGACACACCTGTTCCTTCGTCAGCGCCTTCGTTAATAATCTTTGCGCACCTGCTTGTCTGGAGTTTGTCCGTGAAGCAGCTGTCTGTCTGCAAGGAAGTGCGAATCATTGTCTCCGAAATAGGCCTCTGTGTTTGTCTGTTTGTCTGATGTGTTGTTGATGTGTTTGTTGTTTGTGTTTGTTTGTTTGTTTGTTTTGTGTGTGTTGTGTGTGTGTGTGTGTGTGTGTGGTGGTGTGTGTGTGTGTGTGTGTGTGTGTGGTGTGTGTGTGTTTGCGTGAGAGAGAGCGAGAGAAGCGAGCGAGAAAGAGAACAAAAGAGATAGAGAAAGGGAGCAAGAACGATAGAAAGGGAGATAATAGAAATATAAGTGGAAATAAAGTAAAAATGAAAATCATTCCGATTAGGTCAGCATATCCAACAATAGTGAAAAACGAAACACAATATACTGTATTTTTTGTTAAGGCTTCATGACAAAAGGAACACCTCATTTAGCAGAGAGAGAGAGAGAGAGAGAGAGAGAGAGAGAGAGAGAGAGAGAGAGAGAGAGAGAGAGAGAAGAGAGAGAGAGAGAGAGAGAGAGAGAGAGAGAGAGAGAGAGAGAGAGATTGTTTTCATTATTTTATGCTGATGATGACGATGATTATTACTATTATCAATACTTACTATATATTGTTATATATTATTTCGTCATTATTATTTATTATTATTATGTTATTATTATTTCATTATTATTATTATTATTATTATTATTATCATTTTTATTATTATTATATTATTATTATCACAATATTATCATCATCATCATTATTATTATTATTATTATTTATTATTATGTATTATTATTATTATTATATTATTATTATTATTATTATTATCATCATCATCAACATCATCATTATCATCATCATCATTACTATTACTACACTACTACTACTGCTACTATTCTCTCTACTATCAATGCTATGACGCAACAATTATCAATGATATTACTATCGTTATCATTATAATTAACATTATGCTGTATTTACTATTACTAAAGTTAGGCCTATGATAATGAAAACTGCTATAGATACGACCGGAAGAAATATTCAAAACAAGTGCTTCAAAAAATAACTGTAAGAGGTAAAGAGACGGTAACTTATTAGCGTCTGGATTCACATAGCTTTGTCAAAAAAAAAAAAAAAAAAAAAAAAAAAAAAAAAAAAAAAAAAAAAAAAAAAAAAAAAAAATCCTCTTTTCCTAATTTCAGTTTCTTCCTCTTACTCTCTCCATTACCAACACTACTGCCCATCCCTTCCGCCATCAGTGAATTAGTCCTCCGGCATTTTTTTTTTCTAGTTTTTCGTACGTTTACACTTCTGCTTCGAATATAAAGTGTTTTCTCTCTTTCTCTTCTTTTTTTTCTCTTTTTATTTCTCTCTCTTTCTCTATTTCTCTCTCTCTCTCTCTCTCTCTCTCTCTCTCTCTCTCTCTCTCTCTCTCTCTCTCTCTCTCTCTCTCTCTCTCTCTCTCTCTCTCCTCTCTCTCTCTCTCTCTCGCTCTCCCTCCCTCCCTCCCTCCCTCGTCCCTCGTTCGTTCCTTCCTTCCTTCCTTCCTTCCTTCCTTCCTTCCTTCCTTCCTTCCTTCCTTCCTCCCTCCCTTCCCTCCCTCTCCCTCCCTCCCTCCTCCCTCCCTTCGCCGATAAAGTGTCTACTCTCCCTCTCCCCCACTTCCTCCTCCACTCCAACCAACCCCCCTCTCTTTCCTCCTCCCCCTCCTCCACAACTACCACTCTCCCTCTCCCTTCTTTTTCTCCGTCCAATCTCCAACAATAAGCTTTCTACGATTTTTCTCTCCCTCCCCTACACGCCACCCTTCCGTTCCCCCCTAAACCCCTATCCCCTTCCCCTCCTCGAGAAAGAGAAAGAGAACGAGGAGAGAGAGAGAAAGCGGAGAGAAAGAGAAGGAAAAAAAGAAAAACGGAGACAGAAAGAGAACAGAAAAAACAAAAAGGAAACAATAACCAGAAAACCGATGAATTTACACTTCCCCCCTCCCCCCCCCCATCACTCTCGGCGGCTGCGACTCCCACCATTAGTATTAGCATTCTTTTGTACCGTTCGTTCGTCATAAGGGTTAAAATTGCCTTAAATTGCCTAATTATCCACTCCCTCGTTGGCGTCTCCCGGGCGGTGGTTGGCGCGAAAGGTGGTGGCGGTGGTGGGGTGGGGTGGGGAGGAGATTCGGTGGGTGGGGATTAGGTTTGGGGCGGTAAAAGTCTGGTGGGAGGATTAGGGGAGGGTTTAGGGTGGGGGAAAGGGGGTGGGGAGGATTAGGGGAGGGGAGGATTAGAGGTGAAGAGATTCGGTAGGAATAGGGGATTAGATGGAGGAGGATTGGGGGTTGGGGTAAAGGGTGTAGAGGGAGGATTAGGGGTTGAGATTAGGTTTGGGGTTAAAAGGGTGGTGGGGAATATTAGGTTTGGGGGTAAAAGGCGTGGGGATTGGGGTTGGGGTAAAAGGCGGGGGGGGGATTCGATGGGATTAGTTTGGGGGTAAAAGGCGTTGGGGGGATTGGGGGTTGGGGTAAAGGGGGTGGGCAAGGATTAGGGGTTGGGGATTAGGTTTAGGTAAAAAGGGCGGGTGAGTTGGGGATTGGGGTACAAGGGGTGGGTTGGATGGGGGTTAGGGATTAGTTGTGGGTAAATAGGGTTGTTGGTTGGGGATTGGGATAAGGCTGGGATAAAAGAGGTGGAGAGGATTAGGGATTAGGTTGGAGTAAAGGAAGTCGATACTGAATGGGGGATTAAGGATTTGAATTAGCGAACAAGAGATAGGGTGGATAAATGAAAATCAAGGAAATGGATAAAGAGAAAGGGATTAGGCAAAAGAGCGAGGATAGAATTAACGCAAAGGGATTAGAAAATAAGCGATGAGGTTAGAACGAAAAACGTACATCCAATCGAGAATTTTAGGGATTAGGTTGGAGTATAAGGAGAGTAAAAAGTATAAGGGAAAGTTAAAGCTA